ATTTCACCCCTCCAGCCTTAACTCCTAATGTCCAAGGTGGACACAGTAAGCCATGACACAAAGCTAAAACCTTCGCATACCCTAGAGTAAAGCAGTTTGATTAGCCGTTTTGACACCGAGGTGAGGCTCCACCGCCAGACACTCCAAATGCGCATGTGTGTGCCGCCTAATACGAATAAATCTCCCTTGGGTAGAATTTAGTGTAGCTCTGAGGATGAAGCTCTGCACTAAGTGTGAGGATCAGAGCTTCCCCCAAACCCGCCTGAAAGCCCGCATTCCATGCTCTGGGGGCAGCGTGTGGGAACGGAGCCCCCTCGAACCCACCCACTTGGAGCAGCACCATCCTCTACCTGCAGTTCTTGGCAACCCCTCCAAAGGTGGGGTGAAAGGCAGGGCGTATCTAGAGCAGGAGGAAGGTCATGTGCTGGGAGCTGGGGTGTGTGGTGGGTACAGGCTAGGTGGACAGGGCGTTAGGGATGCCCTTGGGACCATAGCAGGAGGGGTCTGGACCACCAGCTCAAGAAGTTGGTGCTTTATCGCTCGGGCGGGGGGAGGGGGTGCCACGGAAAACTCAGATCTGTGTTTTAGAAAGGTCCCGCTGGAAGCAGGGAGGGAGGTGGGGCGGAGTGGGAGCATGGGCTGCCGGAGGACCCCCTGAGGGTGACGGGGAGGAGGGGCACCCTGGCAGACGCCGAGCTCCGAGCGCAGCCCACTTGGCGGGTGCAGCCAGCTGTGCCAGGCAGTTAGCCCGCCCGCCTGGGGTCAGGACTCCGCTCCCGGGAGGCAGGACGGGCGGTGTTATCAGACAGCCCAGCTGGCTCAGAGGAGGCCCCCGAGCGCTGCTAAATCGGGGCCGTGGGCTCCTGCCGCAGGAAGAGGGAAACGCAGGCAGGATGTCCTCTCCTGTGGCCGACAAGTCCTTTCCCATGAACCCCTGCTGACCTCGCTGGCCACGTGGCGGGGCTCCCCCACTCGCCACCCTGACCTGCGCCTGCTCGCGGGGCCACCTACACCCTGGCCTGGCCTGGGATGGGGGGTGGCGGAGGTGACCCGCGGCGCGGGAGCGCGGCCGGGGCGCGCCCGGCTGCCCCACCCAGGCCCAGCCGCTGCCAGCCCTGAATGCCCGCACCTTCCTGCTCGCAGACTTCTCCCTTCGGCGTGACCGGAAAACTGAGATCCCAGAGGAAGCCAGTGTCTGAAAAGGATCGAAACTCAGGAATCCCTGGCTCCAGCTGGACACGTCGGCTGCCTCTGGCTCCGAAGTCAGCGCAGGGAGCGTGAGGGGCTCTCCAGACCCTTTCCCCGGCCCACCTCCCTCCCGGAGAGGCCTCTCAGAGAGCTTGGGGAGGGGGGGGAGGGTGCCGGCGAGGCCCTGGTGGCGAGAAATCTGCCCTGTGGGGGAAAGCGCCCAAACCAACAGCGGGAGGAGTGTAAGCTAGACACAGAGAACTTCTCCCTCCAGGCTAAGACCCCACTTAATTTTCCTGGGTTCCCGGATTGCCTTCTGCCCTATTACAGTCAGGTGCTCCCAAGTCTCCTCCTTCCTTATCTGGCCCAGTCGTATCAACTGGGGTCTCCCAGGAAGTCCCCAGGGCACCTCCTCCTGGAGGACCTGGCTCCCCGAGCAGCCTTCATGTCCCTACCTGCGCCCCTCCTCCCAGGGTTCCCATCTGGTAAACCACCTTCATGACCCATTCTGTGACTTAGGCCAGAGACTAGCACACATCCCTGCCCTCCCCTGCCTCCTCCCCTGTGGTACCCCCTTGCTGTGGGCCCCCACCTTGTTTTGCACCTCTGGCAGTGCCTTCAGGGGACCTGACCAGGAGCCTCCCTGCCCAGAACTTCTCTTTTCCAGGTGTGCCGCTGACTCCTGCCCCCTCCAACTGCCTCACCTCCCCCACCTTACCCCCGGCCCCCTCGAGCCTCTAGCCTCATCTACTACCCACAAGTTCCCATATACCATCTGGACTTCCCTGCTTCTGAGCCTTGGAGGGGTTCTTTGCCCTACTTGGAATTCCCTTCCCTGGAGTCTGCAGATCCCTTCAAGAAGCCCCCAGCTAGAAGCGATGCCCCCTTCCTCTGCAGCCCACGGCTACCAGCTGGGCCTCGTGGGGGTCCTGAGCACTTCTGTCCCTACGATACAGATATCTGATACCATGTCTGTGTCCCAGCCAGTCTGGCACTCAGCAAAACCCCTGCAGGATGGGGCTGGTCCAAATCCTCCCTGAGCCACCCTGAACAGGCACCAGAGCTTGTGACTGGCATAGAACTGCAGTCTCCTTCCCTGGGTTGAGGTCCCACTGCCTGGGGCAGCGTGGGGGTGGAACAGGGTGGAGCTGGCCAGATAATCCTCGTCACACCTCATTCTCAGTCGAGTGCCTGGTCGTGTGGGCTCTGTGCTCTGAGGAGGAAGAGAGCCCTTAAGCCACAGTGACTGAGATGGGGCCAGTGGCCCACAGGACCCAGTAAGGTGGCCCAGCCCCCACATCCTGCCTCACTGGCATGCCCCGTCCCTCCCCCATTGCTCTGTCCACACCTGGGTCTGGCTCAGGGCTGAGGAACAGGGACAGCAGAGAACTGAATGGCTGGCCACACGAGACTCAGCCCACGGCAAGGGCCAGTGTCCTCAGGCCAGGGCAACCAGCTGCCCAGCTGTCACTTGCTTCCCCTACATGTCCCTGAGCTGATTGCCCACTGTCCAGCAGCACAGACAGCCTCTCTCTAGACTAAGCCCCCCAAACAAAGCCTCTTGGGCCTGTCCTCTGCCACCTGCCCTCTCCACAGGGACACTGCCAAGGAACTGCTTTTTGAAACTAGACCGGGACCCCAAGCCATAAAGTCCAGCCCAAGCACAGCCCCTCAAGTGCTTGCTCATTTGCACTACTATGCATGGGGAAACTGAGGTGCAGGGAGAGGAAGTTGGGACCCAAGCCACACAGCCAGGAATTTAGGGGCAGAGCTGGGACAAAAATGTGGATCTAGGGCTAACTGCATACTTTTGAGGGGTCAGCTTCATCTTCCCCGAGATTCTCACCTGCCAGTACCTGGCCACCCAGTCTGGTTGTCCTGACACTTGGCTGCAACTGAAGTGTTTATGCTTCTGCTCCAGCATCCCTCATCAGGCTGGGGAGCTCCCCAAGGCAAATGCAGGGCACATTTCCCACCAGCCGTGTCACGGTCCAGCTGGGCCATCCTCCTCCATGGGCCCCTTCAGCTAACATCCTCTCTCCTCCTCTTCACTGCCTGACTCTGTATGAACCACCTGAGCTCCCTGTAAGACTGGCCTCATCCCTTTTCCCTCCTCCACCTCCGGAGCAGCCAACCTCAGGCTCTCCTCGTTCTCACACCTTGCAGTACGTTCCCTGTCTCCCTGGAAGCCTCTGGCTCCCTCCTTGGTGTGGGGGAAATGCAGCCCGGACTCTGCTCTGCTTCCTCTCCAGCTCCCCAGCCCAGCCTCTCTTGAGCTTCAGACACTACACCCAATGGTCTGCCGGATGTCTCCTCAAGGTGGGGTCTCCCCCTCCTCAGCCTGACCCACTTCACTTCTCTCTCCACACTCATTCGGTCACTCAGCAAACACACTAAGTATTGGTGAGAGCCTGGCCCTGGGCTGGATGCAGTGGAGCAAGGAAGGGCAAAGGGGCAGCCCCTCTTCTCTGACCTGCCTCAGAGGCCCCAGCCAGATGTCTTCCTCCATCCTGCCTCTAGATTCATCCACACCTCCTTCATCTCCCCTGTCCTCTGCCCTTCAGTCTGTGAAGGCATAGAGAACAGGGCTCTGTTATCCTACAGATCTGGGTTGACCATTTCCCTTACTGCTGGCCTTTGGGAACCTTGGAGAAGTTACAGATGTCCTTGTTCTATGCTTCCTCCTCTGTAAAACAGGTCTAATACTCCCTTGTGAGGATTATTAAAAGGGATGAAGCATGTGAAGCCAGTATTCAATATCTGCCATGTTCAAAAATCTGGACCCCCTCCAGCCCTTCCAGCACTTTTCCTCCAACCACTGGGGACCCATGACCCTCTCTCTACCTTCTGATTCTCTGGGTCACCAGATCTTGTATAGACGTCCAGCTCATCCTTACCCATCCTCTGACATCTCTATACAACAATACTCCTCTGCGCCTTTTCTCATCTCCCACACTCCCTTTTCTCCAACCGCACGGGGGCAACTTCTGGTCATATTCCTGTCACAGACCATACCCTGCCAGAGATGTGCTTAAGACGCTTCCACGGCTTCTCCTGCCGGATAGTCCAAGCTCTTGAGCTGGGCCTTCAAATGCTCCTGCCCCGTCAAATACAGGGAGCGCCGGCATTCTGCCTCTTCTGCCACGTTGATCTCTCCTGGATTGTCAACTCAAGATCCCCAAGTTCCCCTGTGCACCTGCGCCCAATCCGCCCGACGGCGCCTGTCTCTGCTGGTCCCCGAACCCCTGCCTCCGCAATCTCTGGCCTGGGGAAGGTGGACACCTGCCCGGAGCGCCCTCTGGGGGACCGACCTCGAGCGCAGCTGAGAGGCGTCGGAAAGTGCGCACCCAGGTCTGCGGCCCGGCGGGGATTTGCCGGGGTACCGTCCCCGTGGCGCGGGTGGGAGGGCAGCGCAGTGCAGCGCCGGGACTCCCGCCCCCCCCCCCCGGCACACCCACCCCGGGAAGCCAGTAAGCAAGCGAAGGATCCTAGCTGAGGATGTGCGACGGGGCACGGCTCCAAAGGAGCTGAGCCACCGATAGTGGAGGGTGGTCGAGGACCCCGAGCACAATCCCTGCGCTGCGGTGCAGACGGTGCCCAGTCCCTGACCCAGCTGCAGTCTCCGCCCGCCCTTTCCTCAGCCCCGCGGGCCCAGGCCGGCTCCATCCGGGGTCCGTATCCCCTGGCTCCCAGCCCCATCTCCCCTGCAGCCCCAGGCTCCCGGGGGTCCAGTGCCCCGCCCGTCCCCCGTCGCCCCGGGAAAGCGGCCCCCATCGCGGCCAGCGGCGCACGCGTGCGGGCAGAGGGCTCACCGCGCTCGCCGTCGAGCAGTCCGAGGCAGAGCCACAGGCGCAGGCACAGCGCGGCTCCCCGCTGCATCTCCGGCCGCTGCGGCGCGGGTCTGA